AAATCGTAGAATATTTTGCACACTCTTCGAATTTGGCAGTTGCAGAATTTCCCTGGGACGCATACTTCTCTATATGGGCTTTACATGTTTTCTAGAGAAAGCTTCTGGGCCATCATCGTGAAATAATTTTTTTAATTAAGCCATCATAGCAAGTGTGGTACTTCATTTGTTTTTTGCAAAGCAGTTGTAGGGTTCACATATCTCTATTTTCAAGAAATATGAAGTGAATGAATGAAAGTATAGTTAGGCAGCTAACTGAATGATATAATGACCCGTATGGACTATGACCACTGGAAGGGTGGAGCGTGTGTTGTTACACGTGAACTTACAGGCTGTTAAGGGTAGATAGACAAATATGGCTGATTGTGTGTAAGTATTAGGGCATGTCAGTTCAGATTAAATACCAGACAAAGATTACAGGCAGCAGTCCTGATAGATGTGAACTGTTGGAAGCAGTTCAAGCTGGAAAAGAAGTGGTGTATTTAATTGTGACACATTTGTTGAAACATTGAAAACCAGGAAAATTTCTCGAGCAGGCAATCTTAAGTGATGTTTTTGATGACTGTGACATTGCACACTGTCACTCTTCACATGTGTGTGTTTCCTTATATATTTTCTACCAAAGCCACAAACAAAGATAGATGGCAGTTAACTCGCGTCCTGTTCCCTGTCTTATGCAAGTGTCATTCTGCACTTTATTACCTTAGAAGTACTTGCTGCTAGGCAGGTTGGTATAACATTATTAGGGAAAATTCTAGACGATGCGAATGTGTGGTGCAGTGTAAATATTTTCTGTAGTTCAGCTGCGACCGATGCTCTTTTTCTGTGCTTTTTCATTTTTCCAGTGGTGCTTAGGCATCTATAATTTTCCCCCTTAGCTTAATTACCTCCCTGAAGCTATGCATCATCTTGCCCATTAACAACCATTGTTAAACTATTGTATGTGGCATTGCTGATGCAAAATGACCTTAGAGTATATGCTAAAGCTCCTGCAGGATCACCGGCTGAATGTGACAATCAATTCACCATTTATAGGACCCGAAGTATTGACATTTTCAATATATCTGTTCGCACAGTGCTTTATTGGAGTCATGCAAGCTTAAAATATGGTGCTCCCACAGAGAAATTTTTCTTCCTGTGCTGTGACCAACGGGAAAACTATGTAGACAATAATGAAGAGAGATCACAACTAGGCTTAGCTGTGTGATGTCTGCCTCAATAAAAATGTAATAAATTAATGCAAGTGTGCTTATATCACCATGGTGTTGCCAGTTTATTGCTACATTTGATATGAATCTCTGCTCGCTCCACCATGGTGTTCCTAAGGGTGTACACAGTCTTACCTCTGAGACAGCATTGCCAGAACTAATTTCACTGTCACAATCTTGAACAGGTGTGCAACAAGCATTCGCCAGTGCAGAGAACACAAGAAAAGTGGTCACTGCTTGCATGTTCAAGGTCGTATGCACGCACACTGGACTATGATTTTGCAGTGTCTTACATTTTGAGTGGAGTATACATCGTGATGGCGGGAGCCATCTCTGTAGTCACCAGCTAGACTGTCACAATGTGCATATTGTTGCTTCAGACAACTGTTTAGGACAAAAAAAGGGCACCGTAGAAAAAAATATTTTTAGGCTAATGTAAGGGCTTGTGGTGAGGAGACTCTCAAAAGGTATATGGTGTGTCATCTTGCAATAGAGAAGCAACATTTATACCTAGTTTATGTTAGTAGGAGTGTGCTAAACATTGGCCATACAAGCTTGTGGCTAGAGAAGGATGATGTCCAGAAGATGCCCTCCTGAAATGTTAATCTGCACCGCCCTCCCTTGCCCTTCTTGGTGCACTGGTATTTTTGCCCTATAGGTAATAATTCCTTTAGTGGGTACTATTGAAGGGCTTCTGAATAAGCTCACTCTTACCACCTGCTTTACCCAAGGGCAAATCCTACTGTTGGAACTTGTTTGCTTGGCAGAAATTTTTAACAGGAAAAGAAGCTTCACTCGTTACACAAATAAAGCTACAGCATTGCAAGATAACTATGATGTTATATACACAGACCTCCCACATACAACTAACTAAAATCTCACCACTTACCTCTATGGTGAGCCTGATTATGCCTTAAGACAGCATGTAAGTTTCTTGATCTTATACTTTTTAATCAGTACATAAACCTTGAAAAAACAAGATCATCACGTGCAGTCCGTAAAACCAGTGCTTATGAACTGCAATGATGCCATCGAAAGCATCAGCGAAAGTAAATGCACCCTGCTGGAAAGCAAATGCTGCATGAAGCCTGTAAATGTACTGTTAACAAAGTCTTCTCGACAACTTCATTATGTCTATTTCTGCAATTTGCATAATCCTGTTTCATACATACCTTGCTGTTCACCCTATAATTATTGACCTCTGAGTGTTACTCAAGTGACCATGCTCATTTAACATACCTGCAAGCCTCAGTGCTAACCTAATGAAATTGGAGACATTAATAAAGTAATGCTCTCTAATGCTCACCCCTTCAGAAAAAGTTTTTAGCATCCCCTGAAAACCTATTCTTTAAAAATTTGATCATCAGAGATGCGATGTATCTCCACACCTGATGACAGACATTTGTCCAATTACAGCCACATTATAACAACAAGCAGCCTTTGTAAGATGCCTGAACACGTACCATCATCTCAGGTCAACATGTTTCCTGAAACCAGCTTGCTCTTAGTTATGCAACAGAATGGTTTTCATAAATCATTTTCTTGCTAAGCTCAACTTGCCCCATGACAAACTGTGTGTTTAATTTTAGACCATTCTTGGGGAGCTATTTTTCTTAATAACTAAAGAAAGCCCGATAAAGTGAAGCATGAGCTTTTAAAAGGAAATTTGCAAAACATGCACAATCATCTCCAATAACTAGCCTGAGTATATATTTCGCTAATAATGATCATTTTCATTTTAGAGCACATATCTGATGGCACAAAATCTGGAGTACCAAGGAGTCTGTCACAGGTATCTTTCACTTCTTTATTAGGGGTCATGCAACAATTTTAAATTATTCATACGATATTCTAGAAGTTTACTGCAGTGTGAATCACTTGCCACAATTTAAAAAAAAATAATTATGGGGGGAACATATGGACTCTTTACAAAGGTTGAAGTTGGTGCTGATGCCGTCTGTCGCATGACCAGTAATGAGACAAAGCACGGCGCATCGCATTAGGCCTAATAGCAGTGCTATGCTTCCATTTCACACACACACACACGCGCATAATGTATGCTTTACTGCTATACACTGCAAGCACTTCACCCCATGACGCTGCTGTATTGCGGCAATGTTAACTTTTAAAAAGACCTTTACGGGTTAGCAATTGAAGCTCGACCATGCTCCCAGCAATGAAATTTCTATTTTATTACATTTTTTTTTTCATTTTTATACACTTGCCTAAACTAATGTTACCAGCCGTCCCGAATTTCGCTGGACTGTCCAAGACTTTGCCCGCGCTGTCCCAGTCGGGACAAATGTCCCCGATTTTTTCCGGACTGTTCAGTAAATGAAAAAAAAAAAAAGAAACGTTTTGCGTTATAAAAGGCATGCCAAGTAACGAGCGTCCGTCTGATCACATAGACAAAGAAATGTTGCTGTGGTTAGCTGCAAGGAACTTTAAACACTTCAGCTGAACTTTAGCGTCAACTTTTACTAGAGCATTCTAGAGCGAGAGGAAGTGTCACGAAGAGCACATAGCAAAATTTAGTGCCACATCAAGAGACCAACGCAATGAAGAGAAGAAATAACGGATTTGTTTGGAAGGCACCGCAACAAAGAAAACTAATTTCCTCACCCACACACAACTACCTTCACTGTTGGTTACCCCAATCTAAACACACACTGCTAAGCAAACAAATTGCCATCATCTGCGACTGCTTAATAAAGCCACTCGGACAAGAACGTTCTCTAATTCCAACTTGTGCATTCCGTATCTATCTCGCGCACTTACGCAAGAACAAGCTTCAATGAAAGCGTTGGCACAGTATATACTTCCTCCCAAGTGACACCAGCTGTTAATCGGTCCTCAAGCAACACGCATGCACCTACCATACATCCGCGTAGTACATGCATCAAACCAACATTCACAAATCGCGTTCCAAAGGCCTTTATTTTATGCTCGTTGTCATTGCTTGTAGATTTGGTGGCAAACACTTCGGGCTGGTAAGTGTTAATTCTGTGCTTCGGGCGAATGACGTTAACTACTCGATAAGCGCGGCGACATCACAGGAATTAAGAAAAGCGGCAGCGACTTGCGTATGAATCACTTTCTAACAACAGAAAGTGACCACGACCTCACGGGCAGAGGCGCTTCTCGCCATTTCAAACAGATTACAGTCCAATCGAACACCAACATCGGAGAAAAAAAACATCACGACTAGAATACGATGAACCCACCACAGACTGTGTATCACAAGCTAGTGAGGAACTCTACCTGAACCACAGAATAAAGAACGCCCAAATCGCCTGAAAAATGTTTTCCAACACACCAATTCTAGCGCCATCTATTTGTACACTTTAAGCCAAGTCAAGCCGGTTTTAAGCGGCTATTGGGTGAACCGAACCTTTTTGCCTCGAAAAGGTTCGTGCCACCGGGGGAACCGAAACACTTCCAAACTGTTTACACTCTTAGATTTCCCGTACCTACCGAATGAGCGTGAAACGCCGGTCATATATGACGACGCTGCCTACGTAGAAATAATAGTTTTTGTACTCAGCCTATGAGATTGGCAATTTTGATGTTTGTTATTAATTTCAGAGGATGCCTTGTAATAAAAAAGTTGTTTGCTTAATGACAGTGTCACTTACGTAGGGTTATATTATAACTAAGTTTACGTCTTTTTAAAACTTTTTACGTTATTTTTGTTGCATATAAGCTCTAAAAACGTAAAAACTTGTTTGAAGACACCACTACTTGAGTGGCGCCACCACCGTAGTTCCAACGACCGCCGCTTTCCTTTCCTTCACGGAGGAAGTGCCTTTCCTTCCTCCGTGGGTCACAGGCATCTTTGTGGAGGAGGCGTTAGCTAAACGACTTCAAAATGGCCGCCTAGTTCATGTTCGCGTGTGCACTTGTGTTGTGAAGGAGACACTGGTGTTAAGTGGCTGTGGTCTGGGAATTCGTCACTGTGTATGGTGTGTGCGACTGTGACCACAATGAACAGCGACTCTTCTGTTTCGAAGGCGTTGGCGTCGCTGACCGAGACGTACACCGATTCTGAAGGCGAGCTCGACTCGGAGCCGGAGACCACCACCGAGCACAAAAGCGTTGAGAGCACGCCGAATTCGCAGAGTGGAGTGCCGCTCGTCTCGTACCAGGACGAGGACGAGGCGGCGGGCGAGGAGGAGCCCGGCCAGGTCCTGTACGTGCGTCCCGAGTCGCCGGTCTCCTTCCACCGCTGCCTTCAAAGCCTGGGTCCGAACGGCGTGTTCCTGCCGCCCGAGCCACCGGGACACTGCGCGCCGGCTCTGCAGGAAAAGATCGCGCGCCTCTACGAGCGCAAGGTGCGCGACGGGCGCGACATGAATGCGTCGATCCAGATGCGCAAGGACTTCCGCAACCCTAGCATCTACGAGAAGCTGATCGCCTACTGCGGCATTGACGAGCTGGGCACAAACTACCCGCCGGAGACGTACGACCCGCACAGCTGGGGCCCGGACTCGTACTACGAGGAGCTGTCGCGGCGCCAGAAGGAGGAGATGGACAAGCGCGAGCGCGAGAAGAAAACTAAGGTCGAGTTTCTCACCGGCACGGCCAAGAAGGCCGAGCCGCGCAAGAGTAAGTGGGACGTCGGGGGCACGCAGCCCGTGCTCGGCGTCGCACGGCCGCTGGTCCTGGCCACTAGGCCCACCGTCATCTCCGCCTTCGGCACACTGCCCAAGAAGGCTCCCAAGCCGTGACTAACCTTTCTAGCCGTGTGGAAGGGGCCGTCGTTCGTGCAACATTCCGTGAGAAGATGTTGCCGTTTATTATTGTGCTACATCTGTGGATAAACACCACAGTGCCCTTCGTGGACAGGCGTAATGGAGAAGTTAAGACAGTGCATGTGTGTTTTTCATATATGTTAAATTTTATTGACAGACATGAACAGCATTACATAATGGTTTGTAAGCAAGCAGTAAAACCAATTGTTAATCCATGAATGTAAGAGTTGTGTTCTCGAGGGGTTGGAGGAAGACCGAGAGACATCACTTTTCAAACGAGGGAACGATCAATACATTTATTATTCTGCCATGTTTTTCTTCCCTCCCCATCGAACCCCTGTAGCCGTCCTAGCCTTCCTAGTGGCAGAGTCCCAACTAAAGTTTCTAAAACTGAAGTAGCGCCAACCACGTCCTTTCGCCTCTGCCTCTCTCAGCAGCAGCAGCGCCCCTTGAGTGCTTAGCAGGAAACTGCGGCATACCCTTTCTTATTGAACAGGGGAGGGTAAGCCAATGTCATCGTTGAAGCAAAAGAGAACATGTGACTGAGGACAGACAAGATAGTGCTTGCACTACCAAGGCTACCAAGCTCCATGGAGTTTGCCTAAGTTAACTAGAGGGGACCCTGGCGCTGTGTTTGTTTAGCAACCGTGTGTTGTACACGGATTTGCTTAGTCTTCTTACTTGCGGGTGGTGAATCGTACTTGTGGCTTCATTTAATGTTGTGTTTTAGTTTTGTTTTAAAGGGACTGCTGACCGCTCGGAAAAAATTTCCGACTGTAGTGCAAATAGAAAGATCGTTCATCACATCGGCTGCAACGAGCATGCTTTCATGCCATAAAGAAGGAATTATAATTTTAGCTTGATGTTGAAAGTCGATAAGAAGTGACCACTAGTGCCACCCTACAGCAAATGTGGTCAATCTTGACAGGACTGTTGGTAGGACAAGAAATCCTCGCAGGAAGATTTAGTTGGCTTGAAACAGACACGTATAACTTGAAAATTGTAATTTATGCACTTGAGGCTGCTTTAGGTTGTGCCAGTCTAACTTTTGCTTTTTTTTCCCTCGCACATTCAAATAGCCGCTCGGTAATGCTGCTGGCAGTGTGTTCGCTTGCTTGCATGCCTGCTTACAAACGATGGAGAAACGCGAGCACAGTGTCCACCGCCGGTTCTGAAAACAACAAAATTGTGTGTGCGTGCCTAAAATGACCACTACGGTATTTGTTTTATTAATAAACAAAACTTGATGAAACCTGCAAAAAGTGCACAGGGTTTCAGTTTTTGACTTTCATCGACCGATGAGACATTCACCCCACCGATAGAAGGAGACAACGCAGACAGAAAATTTTGTTTTGAAAATGTTTACACTCTTTTGAGAGAAACCGCTGCAACTTTAGACACTTCACATGGTACAATTTTTATTGTGGCACAAATCACAAGAGCAATGAAGGATGGTAGACAGTCCCTTTAAGGAAAAAATAAACTGTTTTCAACTTCGTGACCTGATTTGAAATGTAAAGCCTAAAACATTAAGGGGATAAAGCCTAAGTGCTGAATATTTGCCGATTGTTGTTTTGTGACAAAGCATCTTCAAGTCACGCGAAGCCAGAAGGAACGTAAAGTACTAACACTAGGCAAATCTGTGTACTAGCCATAGTTTCCATGCTCGCTGAAGCCCCGTGCGTTGCAGCTCCTATAGACATTAGGGCCAGAGTTCCCTCTAGTGAATTGTATAGGAAAATTTATGCTAAGAACAGGGGAGAGGCGGAGCCTGCAAACTGACACGGGTGGCGCTAATTTAGGTATTCATAGGGATTTCGGTGCCAACAGGTATGTGGCGCTCTCTCTGGAGAGTCTCGAGAGTTCTCATGACACACCTTCCCCTTTTGAAAGGCTGGCCCTTAGCTTGCTCACAGGCTCAGGCGTGGCAGTGGTTTAATGGCTTAGCAACTGTGGGTAGTGTGGTTGGCTTCTCCTGACCAACCCGTACCTGCTTGGTTCGGTGATGCAACTTCTGGTGCCTCTTGTATATGTGCTCTTGTGTGAGGAACGCTTCCTTTGGCTGTTTGCACAACATAACACCTCGGTGCATGTGACACTCCTACAGTTCCTTGTTGTTGACTCCCATGTCTGATCTGGATAACTGTGCCTGGCTTTAGCTGTGTATGTGGACAACTGTACCTGGCTAAAGCGGTGGCCTGTCCCTTGTTTTACGTCTCCTGTTGTAGTTTCTGGCTTCTCACTCACTAACGACTGCATTTATTTGCCGGAACTGACGCTGGTATCCCCACCAATGATCATGTGTTACAGGCAAAGTAGGGACGTTTGTTTTGAGCTTGCGGCCCATTAGAAACTCAGCCGGCAAGTAGCCCTTCAGTCCAGGTGTAGCTTTTTGGGCCAAAAGGCCTTCCGCAACACTCGTGGATATGTGGATGATGTTATTGGCAGTCTGTTCAGCTCTCTCATCTTCGCCATTGTTTTGCACACAATGTGGGCTCGAAGTCGCATGTCTTACACCGTAACTGCTCGTCAATCGCAGGAGCTCAAGTGAGCTGTACTGCAGGCCATTTGTGGATTTCAAAATGTTCGGAATGTTATGGTGGGCGAACAAGTTACTGCGGAAATGCACAACATGTTTGGTTTGAGTTCCACAAAGCTCTTCTAGTTCAAAAGACCTTGAGTAGGGGTCAACAGCCGCTCTGTAATTTTTCCCTTCATAGTGGAACTAGTCTGTGCTGACCTGCCACGGGTCTTCGGTGAGTGGTGTATGAAGCAACTGTTAATTTGCGCCAGGACGGTGCATTGTGCAGGTTGGGCACATGCTCACGTACGTGTGGTCATCTTGGCTGATTGTGGGCCACCACAAAAACTCCTTTGCTCTTCATATTGTAAGATATTTAGCGCAACCTCGACTTTCGCAAACACTCACACAGCCACCCGAGTAAACACACAGCATACAGCGCTGTATGCTGTGTGTTGCTCGGGTGGTTTTGTGAGTGAATGTGTGAGTGTTTGCAAAAGTCGAGGTTGCGCTAAATATCTTACAATATGACGAATAACCAACTAGCCCAAAAACAAGTTTTATTGAGACTGACCTTCTGCCCCGAAATAGGAGTCCCTGTACGACAGAAAGTTCATCGGCCACACTTGCATGCTTGCGCACGTCAGGTGTGAGCATTTATGTTTTTGGCCGTTTGGTCGTGCAGTAGTGCATGACCAGCAGTGGCGTAGCCAAGGGGAAGGGTTCGGGGGGGGGGTTCAACACTCCCTCAAAATTTTTCGTCCAACACCCCCCCCCCCCCCTGCCACTTATTTTTTGTTCGTCGCTTCGCGCTGACATGATTTAAAAACTAAGCGCTGCTGCTATCACAATACTATTGTTGGGCGCTTTTACAATATATAATGTCTGCACATGGAAAAACGTTTCGCGGTGTTTCTCAAGTCTTAGCATTCTGTGAAATTTTGGGCAGGAATCTCGGCCATGAGTGTTTTAAGTTGGCTCGGCGACGGAATTAGTGCTCAAGCGGTGGTAATACTTGTGCCCGCCAGAACAGATCACGCCAGAGTCGATCACTATGATAATTTTGAATAGGGGGAGGTTTGTTATAATTGAAAAAAACCAGACAGTTCTAAGATCTGATAGGTCACGTTAAAACATATTACAGTGTGACTTTTCGTACGTGTGCTACGATATACTCGAGCCAAGGAATGACATTTCTATTTAACCTTCGCACATATTGCTAACATCTAGTTGTGCACGCGGGCGACAGAAATTCGGTTTATACACCTTAATCGGCTTGTATGCGAGTGTACAATATATTCATACATATCTTTATTACGCCCTAACGTCTAAGGTGCTCTGAAGTGTCGTCCAGTGACGAAAGTGCGACACAGGCAAACGTGCAGGCTAATCACTCCCTTAGAAAAGCCCACTAAAATACTCATCATGTAACTGAGGCCCATAAATAAAAATATGGTGGTCATAAACCTAAAGCAGCATAATGAGAAGTGCAGTGTGGGCAACTGTAGTGAGCACAAGCTTTATTGTTCAGCACTGTGGCAAACAGTGCAAGAATAAGAATCATGAAGCTGAAAAAATATACGGCAAATTATATATAATGATTTGCTTCATCTCTTCACTTCTTTACATTGACATGACAAGAAGGGCACACTGAGCAATTTCTATAAATAGGGACATGATGCACGACTAGAAATTCACAGAATGGAGAAACAAGGCTGGGCGTGTCATCACGTAAATTTACGAGCAATATACATAGTAACCATAATTGTTTATAAGAAATGAAAGAAACTGTGCAAGCAATATCTCATGCTGCAAACAGACACATTACATAGCGAAATACTGTTGATTATCTTTTTCAATTGACACAAAGATTATGCTGCACATTGCATCTCACATTATATGCCCCATATGTTATCCAATTTTTGCTAGAATTGTCACATGCAAATTTGGGTTGTTGCATTGTCGTTCACACCTTTCGTATCCGCTAACTACGTCTGCAAGTGAAAGGTGACTCCTTTCGTATCCGCTAACTACGTCTGCAAGTGAAAGTGGTTTTCAGCATAATGTCTCATACAGTTGCACTTGCTTCCTTACTTACAGCTGAACAAAAAGTAGCGCATACCGATTTTACTAAAACCATCTTTTTTACTGTTTGACCGCGTGGGTTCATTGTTGCTGCGACTGCGTTGCTGGCTCGAAAGCTGGCCTCGGCGTGATATGAGGTCGGATCAGTTTGAAGCTGTCGGCGGCAGCGTCATTGGCATCTTGCAACTTTTTTTTCAATGTGCATGTGTTTTGGTATTGGTGTAACCTCTATATAAGGAAATGCATTCCATGGAGGAGCTGGCGGTGGTATAGGGAGCAGATGGTGGTATTGTGTCCCAGAAGTTCCAGTAAATGCCGGCCTTGGTTGGAAGTTGTCAGGTGATGCGTTTGACTTTCTTCGTGCATAACTAGTCTTTCGCTCAAATTGTACATAGCTGTCGCATCCACAAAGGCACTCGGTGTATAGCTTGGTACCCCAAGGGTTACGCGCGTGATAGCTCGAAGGAGGTTGTTCAGTTTGCAGAGTTGGGTTGCGGTGAGATGCATGTAAGGAAAGTCGTACATAGTCCTTGTATATACTAAGCCTTCTGCGATCTGCCAGAGCTCAGCTTCTCTGATGCCATTATTCTTGTTGGCTATTCGTTTGAGCTTATGCGTGATCCGACTGATTTGTTGTTGAGTTCGTTGCATCCATATATGTGCTCTACCATCTTGCTGCCTATGAAATCCTAAAATACGCTTATGTTCGTTTCTTGGTATTGGTTGGCCATGCACGTGAAGCTCAATGAGTTGTTTTCGTTGTTATGCTGCTTCTGTATGGTCATTCAGGACTACTGTGTTTTCGTATTTATCAGGGGAGCACTGAAGTCCAAGACTGGCGAGGTACCGCAAAACGGTGTTTATTCCTTGCTGTGGTGTGTTTTCTTGCTCGCCAGTGTTACCTGTCGTGCACCAAAGCGTGATATCATCCACATAGATAATATGCATAAGCCCAGGAATTAAGTTCAATTTGTTTGGAAGATCTTTCAATGCAACATTAAAAAGTGTTGGAGAAAGTATTGCCCCTTAGGGGGTTCCCCGTCTTAGTGGATGCTTCGTTGTTGTCGAATCATTCATAAGTATTTGAACTTGTCGGTCGCTGAGAAAGCTACGGATGTAGTCTGCGAACCACTGGCCTGGTTCAGTTTCATACACCTTCTCCAATAGAGCAGCGTGTTTAATGTTGTCGAATGCTTTATGTATGTTAAGGCCAACAAGACTGCGTGTTTGAACTCTGCCGCTCTGGCAGTAGACATGCTGTTTTATAAGCAGTGCCGCGTCCTGAGCTTAAACATGACGGTGAAGTCCAATAAGTGTTGCTGGGGGTAGCTTGTGGTTTTCAAGCTGCCACTCATATCTATTAGAATCATTTTTTCCATGACCTTGCCAACCCTAGGTCAGGGCACGGCCGTACTAGAGGGGCGAGGGGCGCACTCCCTTACGGCCTGCTCTTCGGGTCTAGTTCCCACCTTTCACCACCGCTAGTTGTGGCGCTGCGGCCCAATCCTCGCCAGTTGAGCTACAGCACGGCCGGGGTAGAAGAAAGGCGCACGCTCACTTGCCGCTCTTCTAACCCTGCCCCGGCTACAGGTGATTTATTTATTTATTTAATACATACTGCGGACACTAAGTGGTCCAAGCAGGAAGGGCACGTCA